AAAGCAGCAGGACAAGAGGAAAGATACCTCTCTCATACAGAGTTTGCCACCTGATTCTAATAGTTCACAGCCAAAAACAATCTCTATAGTTAATACTGTTAAAGGTGTAGATCTTGCAAATTTCCAACAATAACAAGTATTTATACATGCTATATATTACATAGACTTATTTACCAAAGAACCCCCAAGCCCCTGAACTGCATTCTCCTGCAACAATGGTCCCTTCTTTTGATGCAATTTGCTACCTGAGGCCGGATGGGTCTTGACTGGGAAGCCTTTCTGTAAAATGATGAAGATAATCCTTTTCAGAGTGCATTCAGACAGGAAAGTCAGCCAATCAGCAGCAACAGTTTTTACTCCAGTTATTAAATGGTTTTATTATAGTGTTTAATGGTTTAAATGGGATTTAATTGCTTATTATTTGAATGGAAATTTAATGGATGTTTTATTATATTTATTATAAGCCCCACTCTTTCATGAAAGTTATGAGAATCACTTTTTAATTTTCAAGCCAACATATGACTACGCACATCCTTCTAACTAGGAGGTGCATACAGTGTATTGACACACTCAGGAAGCCTTTGTTTTTTCCTTTTTTTGTATATTTCAGAATAGTATTATTTTATTAACTCTGTGTTTGTATCTATCAATCTGTCTATCTGGTGCTGGATGATATCGTGATATTATCACACTATGCTGGCTAAAAAAACTTTTACAGGTGTGATCTACAGTAAAGTATTTCCACATTTGTAGCTGAAAGAGTTAGAGAAACCTCCTGCAGAGTCCTTGGTGCTCTCTGAGCTTAGTTGTTTGTTTGCAGACATTTCATTACCCAACTAGGTAACATCATCAGTGGCACTCATGATGTTACCTAGTCTGGTAATGAAACATCTGCAAGAAACCAACCAAGCTCAGAGAGCACCAAGGACTCTCCAGTTCATTCCTGAGCAACAGATATTCTCTTCTATCGGAACCTCCTGTGTAGGAGAAGGGACTAGACTGGAGGCATTACAGCCAGCTATGTCTCTGGTGGAACTGTGTTCCTAGAATCAAGAATAGATTTCCAGATGGAAAAGCTGTATCTGTCCAATTCCTTTCAAGCAGTTTGACATGTCTCCCCCCTTCTGCAATGATAATACTGAAATTTTTTTTAAAAAAAAGAAGTGAAGTTAATTCCTACAATTATTAAAACATTGCCATTTGTGTTAACAGTTATTAGACATTTCTAATAATACTTTTGGGAAAACCCTCCTATGAACCGAGAAAAATCTTCACAAATCTCAATGTCAATACAACACAATCAGGTGCACAAAGATTTTGAGAAAAGAAACAACTTTGAGCTTATAAATGAATGGAAGGTATTTTAAAAAATATTAAAGTAAAAACATGTGAATAAATCATGTACAGCTTTATATTATTTGAAATAAATACTGTAAAAACAATTAAGTAGGGCAATTCATGTTAATTTTGTAGGGTCTGGAATACAACCCTCAGTTTTTTTTATTTAGTATATCTGTTAGGAAGAGAGATCTGATTATAAGAATAATGTGGAGCGTAAACATCAACTGCTTTTCAGTGAATGTGGTGGTTGCTTCTTCTAATCATATCTTCCAACACACTCATTAGTCACCCAAAGCAAAGCATGACCATAGTTAGATCTATGCAATAATAGATGTCTTCTAATGTCAGTAAGCCCGAGCATGTTTTTACAGTGAATATTCTTTTTAACTTCCCTAGTTCAAAAAGACAATGTTCTAGTCTTTTTTCATTTTGGTTTTTTTTTTTCTGTTAAAGATACCATTCCTTCCCTTCTTGATCTGTATTTCCTGTTTTTCCTGAAAAATAGTAAACATGTTGGTTGCATTGCTGAGAAGTAGATAAAACAAAAGATGGAGCTAGTTTCAACTACTTTATTCTTACTGGCAGTACCTTAATGTTGAAATGTGTGCTGGCTGATGAGCTTTCAAAAGTCTGCACTTGCACTGGAGACATCCTTCGGCCCAAAACGACATCCTAACCCTGTGCTAAAGCGCCTTCCTGAGCTGCTTCAGCATGATTCTGAGCCTCCGTGATACTTCGATCCAGATCTATGCAACTGGGCTTCTGTGTGCTGCAAAGGGCAGCGATGTGGTAGCAAAATAAGTAACTTTTAATTATGTAAAAGGTCATGGTGAGCAAAAGGAGGAGGGAAGGATATTAGATTCAGTGACTCACAGGGACATTCTCAAATCAAGGACACGTACAAGTAGACTAGGCCTGGTTGTTTATACCACAGCATCTTGGCTGGTATTTGATTTTATCATTATTTTACTATTTGTTCCATGAAGTGACTGCTTCATCGTGTCAGATTTCACATCAAATATAGCTGTAAATCTTTGTCCTTGTAGAACTCAACACTGTGTTCAGGAACTAGTTAAGTGCAGAGCTTTCAAAGTCTTGATACTGCTTCTTTATTTTACACAAGGAATCAGTCAGATATACAGAAGAGAAGCCTGCTCCAGAACATCAATATCTTTGTGTTTGTGTGCATGTGACAGAGAGAGAGAGCATCAGCCACAGGCTTTAAATTTTAAGCATTTTCCTCCTGCCCTTTCAGTTTAACAGATGATTGACTGTAATTTCCCCAGCCTAAAGACTGAAACTTGTTTACACAATAGTTCTGAGCAGTGGTGACTCCTGTCTGACTAGTAAAAATGAAGATGCTGAAGTGCTCTGGGACTTTAGAATTCAAACAGACAAGCACCTGCCAGACAACAGCCCAGACTTAACAACT